ATATATATATATATATATATATATATATTTAAAGACTTTTCCTATTGAGAGAGGAATTAATATACTAAACTCATACACACTACATGAATGTTATGACTCAAACATAGGACCTTGTCTGATGGAGTAATTGCTCCAAACCACTACACTAGTGGGTCATTTGCTTGAAGGAGCATCCCCTAAAATATTAATATAACATAAAACGACTATTATCGAAGACCAAGTTGTTTTTAAATCCAAACTTATTTGTGGACAATCCATCCGAAATCCCACTTTTAACAAGCCATAGCCCGCCCATTAGCTCTCTCACATGCTCACAAGTTGATAAAAATAAATGTTATTTTTTATGAATGGGACTTTAAATCCTATCTTTGAGCCTCCAAATGAAGTATATGAATTGAAAATTCTTCAGTTTTGTTGCAGTTTTTACAATTTATAAATCCTGTTGTTTGTGCTTTCTTTCGATATACCAAAATCGAATATTGGAGAATATATTTAAGTTTTCTAACCAATTTACATGTGTTTGTACCATATTTGAAAAACGGACCAAAGTTTGTTTATTTTTTAAATATTAAAATTACATTGGAACCGAGCCCACTTTCATTCTTTCAAAACCAACAAAAAGGGCTTTTGTTTTTGTGTTTGGGCCACTACTTGGTTTAAATTCACTCAAAGGCTCATATCTCAAAATATCTCAGCCTTGATCCGCACTAAAGTTAGTGAGTGGGTAACCTTTACAAAGTTCACCTACGTAACCTGCTGAAAATGGGTTTTCACCATTAAGAGCAACTTGATTGTTGTCTCTCTTAGCAAGGAAGCAAGCTGGCTGACTGATGCCAAAACCAAGAGGAGCCGTCTCCCGACTTGTTTTCCAGCTGCAACAGGATAGCAAATCAAAGGAACATCCCTTGAAGCCAATAGCTTCATCTAAGATATTTTTCTCTTACTTGTGAATCAACTTACAAGGGCAGGTCTGCAGCTGACATTGGACAACACTCAAGTTTTATCCTCCACCCACCACCGTAATCGTTGGAATATTTTGCCTATAAATATAAAGGCTCAATGGCAACACTCGAGGACTCTCTCTCCAAAATCAGATGCAACGTCTCTTAAACACTTGAACAAACTTCAAGCTTTTCAAACAGCCAACTTGCTACCCAGATAACCAATTAACAACTCATGCGTTTATCTTTTATAGCTCTGACATCTTCTTGGTATGATCTTTGTTAAACAATTAGGCTAGCTTCCTTCTAAACAACTAAAACTTGTAACCAATTGGATAGAGAAATCTCCAATCTCTTCATTACTGTAACTTCTTCTTTAAAACAACTAAATGGAGAAATCTTTAGCTGTTGTCTTAACTTGTTATCATGCCTGGGCTGGATAGAGAAATCTCCAGTTTCTGGAACTTTACTTACCCTTCAATTTACCTTAATCTCACTTTACATTCTTGCCATTTATCTTTCTTGCTCCTTACTTTCCTTCAATTTATATTTTTAATCTTTACTTTTCAAAGTAATATAACTGTTCATTGCTGGACATGCCCAAAACAAAGGTTTTTAGGTCCGAATAGGGCTTTCTTAGCCCGAAAATAAGGGTTTACTTAGGCCCGAATCATACCATTGGGTCCGAATTAACTAAGTCTTAACCTAATCTATGGTTATCTTAGGCCCGAATTAGGTTTTTGAACCCAATCAAGGGAACATTGACACAACATTGGTTTTTTTGTTTGGCTAGGTATCGTTCGTACCCCCCAAGCCATAGACACACAATTAAAAGAATATTGAAGTCCTCTTAATTGAGGCATAGAAAAGAACTCATCTGAGCCAATACCCCCTTGGAGCACAATGGCTTGATCAGAGGTCCAGAACAAGCGCAAATTCATCGAACAAAGCATTCTACATCACATATACCAGGTTTATTGGGCTGGTCTCATCACTAATAGTGGCACGCCTATGCAAACTATGAATTGGGTTAGAAGAAGCAGGTCACCATGACTCAGCCCGTACTCTCCTGCCATTTTTAACTTGATCCAACTTCAATTTTGGCGAAAAGTGAATAGTCCTTTCACAAGCCAAAGATCTAATTGGGACATTGGTGTTAACTCAGCCTCCTTTATTTTCCTGCTCTATTCCCAAGAAGGAGAGGAGAACTAAAAAGGGCATCAACAACACAACACCGCTACCCAAACTAAAAATGTTAATGGTTTTCAGTAGCATCATAATGAAGTTTGCATAAAGAAAAAAAAAAGGGCAGAACCCCACTTTATCGTTTCAAAATTCAAATGTCAATATTCATCAAATATGGTATTTCGCTTGAATATAGATGGACTTTATGGGTTGGGTTGGTGGCTTGCTACTTTGATTTTTGTATTTTGTTAAGTGAATGTAATCAAAATAATTTGGCGGGTGAGAAGTTATAAGCTAAAAGTTTTGAGGTTTATCTATCTTCGATCTCATCATCAGGGACGGACTCAGGGTTTGAAAATAGAGTGGGCTAAATTTATCTTACGTACAAACCTAAAACACTTGACGGAACTAGTGAATTTCATTGAAATATGAATTTTAAGGTCAATTAGCAATTACATGATAAACTTCTCCATTGAAAGGAAAAGAATTGAAAACATTTATTATCCATTACAAAAGAAGAAGAAAAAAACTGAACCATTTTAATCCATCCAAGCCAACTTGGAAAATAAAAATGAGAAGAAGTAGCCAAAATTTATAAGAAAAAAATGGATTGACACTTTATGTACACTAGAAAAGGTTTTTTTTTAATTAAAAAAAGGACAGAAAATGTAAAGGATGTTCTCTAGGAATTTGTGTTTTCTGAAAAAGGTTAAATAATAAATAATTAAAAAAAAAAAAAAAAAAAAAAAAAAAAAAAAAATTTTTATGGGTGGGATCATTGGGATGAGGTGTGTGGAGGTGTGCTTTGATGGCTAAGTATTAGTATTGGACTATAAATATCAAGTCGCCCAAGTGGACGTAGGACCATCCCTGCTCATGATTCGGGCTTTTTTTAGGTTGATGTAGCATGGTTAGAACATCCACAATGTTCGGGGGGATGTATTTTCGGGGTTTTAAAACCACTTTTACATCCCATTTACACCTGCGGGGGTTGTAAATGTGGTTTTCACTCCAATGAGGAAGATATAAATCTAAAGATGTATAATTGATTTTTTTTTGTCTTAATTCATTTTTGTGTTAACTTTATAAATAATTTTGTGTGTATTAGGTTTATTTTATTTTTTCAAACCAATAGACCTAAAAATATTTAAATTTGGAGAAGATATGATTTCATCCACAGAAAAATTATCATAAGAACAAGCTACTAAATATATATATTACCTATTAATTAATTGATTAATTATGAGTTTCACTATAGAAGCGTAATCAGCAACCAATGAATTATTTTATTTTATGTGGCTACAAATTAAGTATGAAGTTTTGTCTAGCAACTACTCTAGCCATGCGTCTTGGGCATGTATCTTTATATTCATCCTTTTTGCTCACTTTTGTCCATCTTTTCTCATATTTTCTCATGTAGGCCCCATCTGCAAGGGATGTAAAAAAGGATGCACATGTGCATCTAAATTTGCATCTCACGGTTGTTATGCAAATTTACAATCATTTACACCTACCCATTACAGGTGATTCCGATCATAAATTGTGTATATTTAACATACATCTCATTATACAACCCCCCACTGAAGATGCTCTTAGTAAATGATTAGTAATTGTATTAAGAAAGATGAGTGTCTAATAAAACTCACCATGTACTTATCAAGATAAGTGGAAGACCATCCTAAATAGGGGCATGAAGAAGATCTTCTCCAATTTTCTTAATTATGAACAAAAATTTCTTAAAAGGGTGAGAAAATAAAGAAGTGAACCAAGTGGAAATGCATGCATGTACTGTTTACAAGGTGGCCAAAAAAGAAGGATAGACTAAGGTGGGCGGTTGGATAAGCACTGGGCAGGCAATTTATGTTCATAGTGGTCAATGTGGATAACTACTAACTGATAAGTGTTTACTACTGTTGTTGTCTCGAATGGAGGAGAAATAGAGGAGGGCCTTTTGGATTGTGTATTTGGACAATTTCAAAAAGGGGTTAACGATCAATATTATGGCTTCAGATTTTGCCTCTATTACTTGTTCTCACAACACATGTACGGCGCCTAATATTATGACTTCTGATTTTGCCTCATCTTAATCTTGGGGCCAATATTCTCTAAGATGACTCACGAGCTCTCTTTTTTTCTTTGTTCTTTTAAGTATTGGAGGACGTGTGATTCAAATTTGGGTCCTCTAAATTTTATGATAAGCTCATTTCTTATGATACGTCTAATAAAGGCCTAACTAACTATATATCTAATATCATGTTTAGGAGTGATTTTGGAATGTCTAAAAGCCCTTTATTTCAATAAAAAAGCTTTTGATAACATTTGATAGAAATATTTAAAAGTAGCTATAGGTCATAGCACCTACTTCACATAGCAGGTGTTTCTCTAGAAAGTACTTGGATTTCTTATAAATTTTTTAAAATAAAAGTGATTATGAGCAGAAGTACTTCCTAAAATAACAGTTCCAAATGAATCCTAAGACATGTTGTCAAAGAATGAAGAGCCTTGTCATTCACGCTAAAAAATTTACTCACTATACTCGACGAAGATGTATGAGATGAGGACAACAATGACAATTTTATTTTTGACATTTTTGAAATTTTTTTAATACTACTTGTTAAATTTTCAGAAACATCAATGAAAGGGTGTAGTGATCAAATTTTGTCCCGCTGAAGACTGGAACAACAGCAAACTTACCCCATACATATAAATACAGTTCAGCCCAATCTCGTCAAGGCCATTATCAACCTTATGGGCTTCAACTAAAACTACCCATTTGGATTTTGATCAGAGCAAAAGTCCAAGAACAAATACGTCTCCGTGAAGTCTTACTGAGGGCAGGATTCAGAAGCTGTACATGTAAACAAGACGACGACAATGGAGAAGAGTGCACGGAGGCGATTGGATTGTATTTCTCGTCACCTTGTATTACCACCTCAAGCTAATCATGGTCTGCAGCAGGTGAGATTGATTCATCCACAATCTTTTTCCATTTTTCTTCTTTTATTTTTTGTTGGGTTATCTTTTGCACTATGTACTGAGAAGCTTGGTGGAAAAGGAAAGATTTTGTATTTGATGAAGTTCGAGTTTTTAACTACTGCAAGGTGCTGTTATTAAGTAATGGGCAAGTGAAGAGTGAGGAGGCAGAGCCTGTGGTGCTGTTATTACTGCTTTCCAACCTCCACAACCACAAGTGCCATGCTTGAGCGTCGTGTTGGCTTGTGTCCACCTATGGTATTTACCCAAAAAAGAGCTCCATTTCTTTTAGGGTTTTGCCCTGTGTTTCAGGGAGCATTGTATAGAAAAAGACTCAACTCAATGCTCCAATTCCCGCGTAAAGAAAGAAGGCCCCACCAATCGTGATGGCATTGTACAGTGAAAGAAAAGTCATGGAGATGATGCACTTGTCACCCTGTTAATGGCCACTCCCAAACTATCACCGTGCTAACAGGGTTTTTCAAAAAATAGTATACCCGACCAGCTATACTTATCTGAACACGTAGACATCTAATCGCAAAGCGGGTCTTTTTTGTTTTTGTTTTTGTTTTTGTTTTTTCTAAATAGTATAGCCATCCGGCTATACGCGGTAATGTTTCTTAAAAAATCATATAGCCGCGCGGCTATACTCAATTATTTTAAAAAATATAGCATTGCTGAATAGCTATACTCCTTGTATATATACTGGGATCCTTTTCTTTTAAATTTTTTTTCCGATTTTCGTTTATCGATAAGAATAGTTTAGAGCATTATTCATTACTACTAGGCCATTACTTGAGTCTCTACTTATTTATAGTGAAATTTCCACACCAAAAAAAAGAAGAAAACATTGCACTATCATATTGATTTACTGTAAAATTTCTCTCTCTTAAATATCTGTTTTGGATATGTTGAAACTAGCAAATTAATATCTATAAGGGTTAATCATTTTATTAGTCTCTAAATTTAGACTCAATTTGCATTTGAGTATCTCAATTTCCAAATGACTCCCGTGGTCCTTTAACTTTAGTTTCGTTAGGACAAACGGTCATGTAGTCAAAATGATATTTTTATATCAAAATTGATTAAAATATGAATAAAAAATTAAAATTAAACTCTCTCTCTCCCCCCCCCCCCCCCCCCCCCTCTATGCCAATTTCTACTCCCCAAAAACTTTAATTTTTTTTTATTTGATTTGATTTTATTGTTATTTTAAAGATATGATTTTATATTCATTTTTTTTGTTTTAATATAAAAATACCATTTTGCCCCTGCATTTAACAAAAAAAGTTAACAAAATTGACGGCATAATCATTTGTCCAAATGAAACTAAAGTTAAAGACCACGGGAACCATTTTAGAAATTGAGGTACTCAAATGCAAATCAGGTCAAAATTCAGGGACTAATAAAATGATTAACTCATATCTATAAAGTATAAACTAATACAAGTAGGAGGGTCCTTTTTACTTAATTTTTTAAAAATTAAATCGTATAGCTACACGTCTATACCTTTTTAAATATAATGTATTTAAAGCGTATAGCAGCGTAGCTGTACTTATTTTGACACGTGGGCACCTAATTACTAGGGGTCTTTTGTTATTTATAAATAGTATAACCATGCGGGAATACTTATGTTGACACGTGGACACCTAAGCGTAACACGAGTCCTTTTTTGGTTTTGCTATTTATAAATAGTATAGCCGTGCAGCTATATTCAGTTTTTGTCTTCTATTTTTTTGTTAAAAATAGTATAGCGGCATGGTGATACTTTTTAAAAAAAAATAGTATAGCCACGTGGCTTAGTTATTTAACTCAGGGATTTTATCAAAATCACCTCCTCCATAAAAATAGTATAGCCGCGAGGCCATATTCGTGGTGTACATGTAAGTACGTATTTTTCATGTTTAATACACGTATTTTTTTTACAAAATCTTCAATAAGACTCACAAAATTCACGTGTTATACAAATAATTCTCACTTATTATTAAATAAAAATAATATATATTAAAAATTTTAAGTAAATTATATTAAAATATTATATAGTTGCTGAACTTTTAAGTTGTAATTTGCCAAAATTTTGCCGAATAAAACATGTACATATTTTTTCCCATTTAGTATTTTATAAATAATATGTGAGAATTATTTGTATAATACGTGAATAAAAAATAAAAAATGACCCTCCTAGTTGCATTAGTTTATCCTTTATAAATATTAATTTGCTAGTTTCAACATATCCAAAGTAGATATTAATCTTCCACTATATGATATTTTAATTTAATTTTTATAACATATGTTATTCTTATTCAATAATATGTTAAAATTATTTAATAATACGTGAATTTTGTGTGTCTTACAAAATGTTTTGAAAAAATTACGGGTATAAAATGTTAGAAATATGTACGTACATGTACAATACGACTATTATATGTTTACTTTACAAAAAACGTGAGACGTGTATAGAACAAGAATGTACTATTGAAAAATACGTACGTACATATATATATATATGTAAAAAACTATAGCCGCTCGTCTATACTATTTATTGAAGACAATTTATAAATAAAAAAAACAGTACGACCACCCAGCTATACCATTTTTATTTTTTTTAAAGTAGGAAAAAAATTTATAGCCGGGCAGCCAAGTGTACAGTAGTATAAACAACTAGCTATACCTTTTTGAAAAGAGAAACTTCGTATAGCAGGGCAACTATACTATTTTTAAATATAAAATCAAAGGATCCCCATCGATTTGGGGCCATGTGTGAACACAAGTCTATTTTTTAAAAATATTAAAAACACGAAGTATAGTCGTGCGGTTGTACTATTTTTTTTTTTAAAGAAGACCTTGTATCAATTAGGTGCAACGTGTCAAAAATAAGTATAGCCGGCTGGCTATACTATTTTTTTCCCTAAAAAATAGTAGTATATCCGCACGGCGATAATATTTAATAAAAAAATAAATAATAAAAAAGGAGCCTCCTAGTTGCATTAGTTTGTACCTTATAAATATTAATTTTCTAGTTTCAACATAACCAAAGTAGATTTTAATCTTCCACTGTACGATGTTTTAATACAATTTTTATAACATATGCTACTCCTATTCAATAATATGTGAGAATTATTTCTATAATACGTGAATTTTGTGTGTCGTACTAAAAATTTTGAAAAAATTACGGGTATAAAACATTAAAAATACTTACGTACATGTATAACGACAGGACTCGACCCAAATTCCACTTTGGAATTTAAGCTGAACCCATAGACCATCAATATATATCAATTCCAAAAATCTCAAGGATACTGATAATCAAATCCAATAACCACATAAACTAAAACCCCAAAACCAAAATCCATAACATACCCAAAGTCACCATAATAATAATAATAATAATAATAATAATAATAATAATAATAATAATAATAATAATAATAATAAGTACTACTACTACTACTAAGAAAAAACAGTAGATGCGGCAACAACCAACAGCAGTTAGCCACGATTGACAGCAGCCGATAGCAGCCTACGGCAACCGATAGGTGCAAGGCCCAGGCTGTGCCAGCTCTTCGACCAGCTCTAGCCCATGTTGCCGCACAGTACAAGCGTACACAGCCATGCTGCCGCCGCCGCAGCCGCAGCCGCCATCGTGACGCCACCACCGCCGGCAGCAATGTCAATCCAATGGGAAAGAAATTCTGGTTTTTATTACTGGCGCCAATCCAATGAAATGTGCTGCTTCAAATCTGCTCAACAGAGAAGGGACACATATGGATTAAAGGCCGTGCCAAGTAAAATGGGAAAAATAAAATTTACCCAACAATAATAAAAGAAAATAACAAAAAGAGCTGGCCAACTGTTCCTTCCTTTGACTTGGATATATTAATTGGGTGGTCGTCATGGACCAAAGGATCCATTCAGCTTGATTTTTGGTCCCTCAAGATAAGTTGGGCCATAACCAACTGGTAATCCAGAGGGTTCATGAAAGGACTAGACATAATGAAATTGATTGTCATTTTATCTCTGATAAAATTTTACATTGTTCAATCACTACAAAATATGTATTATCTTCACAAACCAGTAAATTTAAAAGCAATTTATGCAACCAGAAGTCAGAATGGAACCACGAATTTTTTTTGTCTTCGATACAAACGATATTTCCAGTCTTTTATTCTTAGTTGACTTGACCTTTATTTTGATTGGCATCACCATGATCAACTTGCATGCTCTTCTTGAGCATGGCGTTGGATTGTCTATTGTAGATTTGACTTTTAGACAGGGTCGGGTCTCACTTTTGAGTGGCCCGAGACCATTTTCTATTCAATAATATGTGTTTTATATATATATATATATTTATTATATTTATTATATTTATTAATCGTATTGCTAATTACATCTCTAATAGACGTGAATTCAACCATTATTTATGAGACCCGCTTATATTAGAGAGGTGGTTAATAATGTGGTCTAAATAAATGTAATTCAAATAGCAACAATCTTTTCTTTTTGTAAATAGTTTAACAAGAAAAACAAATTATGCACGTCTCTTTTTGCTTTCAACATAACAATCCCATCAAATTAAAGTAAGAAAAGTACATAAAATCATAAAACCTGAAAAAAGCCATCAAAATAGAAGGACTAAACATTTTCAATTGAATGTTTGTTGTTCCGAAGAAAATTAACAACTTTTATTGTTCAATAACATGGAACCATTGAACTGTTAAAGATTTGAAGTAGGTTTTATTTGGGCCCTTGTATTCTTGAACTCTCAACAAATAACTTGAAATAGGAATAGACCAATGTAGTGCCGCCCTGCTTTTAGTCCTAGTTGACTTGACTTTTGATTTCGTCACCATCAACACGATCACCTTGCTTGCCATTCTTGAGCATGGCGTTGGCTTCTTTCCATTTATGGTATTTACCAAACAAGACCTCCATTTCTTCAAGGGTTCTGCCGTGTGTTTCTGGAAGCATTGTGTAAAAGAAGATAAAACCCACTACTCCAACTCCGGCGTAAAGAAAGAAGGCCCCACCAATCGTGATGGCCTTGTACAACGAAATAAAAGTCATGGAGATGATTCCGCTTGTCACCCTGTTGATGGCCACTCCCAAACTGCACCCTTGTGCCCGCAACTTCAGCGGGAAGATCTCAGAAGTATAGACCCATGTGACGGGCCCCAACCCAATAGAGAAAAACGCAACATTGAATAACACCATGGTGATGCACAATCCGATGGCCCATGGGACCGTCCCGTGGCTCTGATCGATGACCGTAAGGCTTGCACCGAGAAACCCAAGAGAAAATACCATTCCACCCATGCTGATCAAAAGCAGTGGGCGTCGCCCAATCCGATCAAGTAAAAATGTGGCGACCAAGATGAAAAGGGTCTTGACAACTCCAACGGCTATGGTTGCGAGTAGCTTGTGGTTGTAGGATTGGATCCCAGCCTTCTCAAAGATCCTTGGGCTGTACAAAACGACAGAGTCTATGCCCGAGGCTTGTTCAAAGAAGTGGATACCTAGTGCTGCGATTAAAATGTGGCGAACGGCTGGTGTGGGATGAAGGATAAGTTGTTTCCATACGCTTTCGCCGTGGCTTTGTTTCGGCACCTCAACGATGTCGTCGTTTAAGTGCATGGGGATGCCTGCGGCTTCTTTGATGTCGTCTAGCCTGAGCTGAGCCTCTTCCTTAGAAGATGAGGTTTTGTTGAGGACTCGCTTAGCGTCCCCAAGTCGCCCCTTCATGACGAGCCAGCGAGGCGACTCAGGCATGGCTAAAACGCCGACGACGAGAACAATGGAGGGAAGTGCGCCAAGGCCAAGCATGAACCTCCACCCCATGTGAACTGGGAGCTTGGAGAAGGCGTAGTTGGATACGTACCCCAATAATATGCCAAGATTGACAAACACCTAGACATACATATTTTCAAATAAACCAATTAATGAATTAGTCCAAAAGTATTATATGTAAATAATATAAATATAATATACAATTCATCAAAGCGTTTTTCTTTAATTAATCATTGATCAATATTTTTTGGCAGATAATCAGTAACTAATCTGAAGAAAAATATAATGCATGGAAAGGTGCTTTTGGTCTAGTGGCATCTCCCCCTAAATTTATCATAAAAAGAAAAACATAAAGAAAATAGACAAACAATGAAACAAAACAAACCTCTGGAAAAGATGTGAGGAAGCCACGAGACAACGCTGGAGAGATCTCGACGGTGTAGACCGGGGCGATCATGAGACCGTATCCAACGCCGACTCCAGCGACGAATCGGCCGAACATGAGCAAGCCGTAGCCAGGGGCGACGCCCATGAGGATAGCTCCGACAAAGAAGATGGTTCCGGATAGGACAATGGTGTACCGACGGCCGATCCAATCAGAGGTTACGCCAGCCAAGCCGGAGCCGATGAGGGAGTAGATGTTTAGAGTGCCCGCAAGGATTTCAACTTGGACGTCGGTTATTTTTAGGTCATCTTTGATGAAGATATTCGCCCCACTCATTACACCAATATCTGTACACAAAAGTAAAATTAATCAACCACACTCCAATATAATTCGGAAAGAAAAAAAATGTATTTGGCAGATGAAGTTTGAGGAACTGTTGAAGTGTAAGGATGATTACCATAACCCAATAAGATTGAAGTCATGCAAGCCAAAGTGGCGCAGGCAATAGCGAACTTGTTTGCATTGGGTTTCTCTGGGGGATCAAAATCTTCAATACGCTTGTTCTGGGGTTCGCCGGAGACAGCATTGTCTTCGACTTTCTGGTCTGTCATCTCGGTCATTGTGCTAGAGAGACAGAGAGATAGATTGCGAGCAAGTGAGAGGTGTAGATGACTTATCAGAGAGAGAGAGAGAGAGAGAGAGAGAGAGAGAGAGAGAGAGAGAGAGAGAGAGAGAGAGAATATATATAAGCTAACACTTAATTAAAGTAGTATTGTATATGGTTTTCCAATGGAGAAGGATGAAGACACAAATGGATTAGAAGGCCGTGGCAAGTTTCTTGCAATGAGAAAGACAAAAGAATTTCGTCAACAACCGAAGCAAATAACCAAAGGGATGATTGTTCCTTCCTTCCTCAGACCTGGATTTATACAACATGACCACGCTTTGGGAGCTCAGGGTACTAGGTCCTCATGGCGCAAAGGATCCGTTCAACATGATTTGTGGCCTAGAGGATAAGTTGCATGCAAAATAACTAATACTAGGCTCAGATGCATGTAATAAGTTTACAAGGCTTGTGTGTTGTCTTTGAATGTTTGAAACCGTATTTCATTTGATTTATTACAACGAATTCTAGAGTATTGATATTGAAATATTGGGAATTGTGGGTATATCTTATGGATCGATATTGAAATATTTGAAGGGTAATGCTTGTTGTATAATTTATTAAAATTTTCTGTAATTAAATGTAAATTTAAATTGGAAAAAAAGAAAAAGAAAAGAAAGACTTCTCAAGTTTGTAATAATGCATATGTTCCTCTTCAAATAAAGTCACGTACGTACTCTGTGAAATTGCCCTTCAACATCTTTAAATAGGCAAAACCTACACATGTTATAAGTAACTTTGACACCTAAATAATATTCATCTACATAGTGCATTAGTAGAGATCTTTGTAGTGTCTCATAAGTGAGTTACGAGAGAGTTCAACACAAGGTGAGCACAAGCACGAGGCCCCACTTCCAAGAGGGCCACAAAAATATTATATTACTGTATTAAATGTTATTTTATTGAGGTTATAGTTTTGTTTTTTAATAATCAGATTGAGGTTAGGTTAATATACTAATATAATATTAATAATATAACATATACTACATAAAATTTCCAATTAACTTTGCAGACCCAAAAAAAAATTCCATAACACATGAAAAAACAAAAACTTTGCATACATAATATATTAATGTACTATATAACATAGCCAATAGCATATACAAGTTTATTTTTCTTTTTCCCCAACTATCATAAGCCATGTAGCCTTCTTTTGCAAGTTTCACAAATCAAGCTCAATTCTCTCTCTTAAATTCTTAGAGATTTTGCTCCCTTTTTCTAAATCATAATTGAAGAAAATCCCCAAATTAATAACTCCATCCTATATAACCAAGACAAATTGAGATAATTAAGAATGTAATATTATAGTTTAAATTTTGATAGTATAGTTATTGATCCAAGAAAATTCATTAATTTTTTATTGGAGGACTTTTATTTAATGTGACTGTCTTTTGGTGAGTTTTAATTGTGAATTTGCCAAAATGAATTGCAACACTGTTTTCATTCCACAACTGGATTGGTCTCTGTATAGATTCCATAACTCTCAACATTGACATAAATATTTTAAGCCACGTTGCTATTGAAGTAGCTTCATAAACTGCTAAGAATTCATCTTGCATGGTTGAGGTTGATACATATTGTTGTTTGACACTTCTCCATGCCACTCATCCTCCTACAAATAAGAATACAAGATGTACATTTATGAGTATTCAAACAACCAGCAAAATTAGCATATGCATATCCTTCTAGTTTTAATTCTTCAACTTTTCAATAAACTAGTTTGTACTCTTTAATTCTTTGTAAATACCTCACCTTCTTACCTACTACCCAATGTGCTTGGCCTAGATTAGATTGAAACCTTCCAAGGATACTTATGCATAAAGCAAAGTCTGGTCTTGTGCAAACTTGCGCATACATCAAGCTTCCTACAAGTGAAGCATAGGGCTTTTCCTGCATTTCCAACTTCTCTTGCTCAGTTTTAGGAGATTTTTCATTACTTAGTTTGTCACCCTTCGAGAATGGAACATCACAACCTATGCAGTTCTCCATATTGAATCTTTTAAGTACCCTTTCTATATATCCTTTATGTGATAGACCAAGTAATCCCTTTTCTCTATCTCTACTTATTTCAATGCCCAATACATAGTTTGCTTCACCTAAATCACTCATCTCAAAATAGTTTGACAACATTCTCTTAGTGTCATGTAGTAATGATATATTACTGCTTGCTAAGAGAATATCATCAACATAAAGGAGCATGAAAATGTAATGTCTTCCATGAAATTTTAGATAAATGCATTCATCTAAGGGATTATCAATGAAACCTTGAGACTTGAAAGCATCATCAAACTTCAAATACCACTGCCTTGAGGCTTGTTTTAATCCATATATTAATTTCTATAACCTGCAAACCAAATCTTCTTCCCCTTTTTGAATGAAACCATCTGGTTGCCTCATATAGATTTCCTCAATAAGGTTTCCATTCAAAAATGCAGTTTTAACATCCATTTTATGAAGATGCAAATCAAAGTGTACCACCAATGCCATTATGACTCTTAAAGAATCTTTGGTTGACACGGGTGATAACATTTCATTATAATCCACTCCTTCTTGTTGTGTGAATCCCTTTGCTACCAACCGTGCCTTATATCTGTCTATTTGTCCCTTTGAGTTTCTTTTGGTCTTTAAACCTATTAGCATCCTATTAGTTTACATTCTTAAGGCAATGCTACAAGCTTCCATGCTCCATTCTTGCTCATTGATTTAAGCTCAAATTCCATTGCTTTTATCCATTTTTCACATCTTTCAATCTGCATAGCCTAATTAAAAGTCACAGGGTCTTCTGTGGTGTTGATGTTCAAACTCTTGTAAGTAGATATAATAGTCATTGGATAAAGTTGGTCTCTTAGGTCTTTGTGATCTTCTCAATTCTAAGTTGTGAGGTTGTTGTTCTTGTTAATCTATCTGCATATTATTGACTATCGTTTGTTGAGGTTCAGCTACTGGATTTGAACCATTGTTTCTTTCTTCATGAGTTGGTGGGGCTTGCTTGTCACTCAAATCATTGAATGGCATGACTACTACTTCTCTTATCTGATTTTCTTTTTCTGCAGAATCCTTATTTTGCAAGACTTCATCAAAATTGAAATTTTCCTCAGTGCTTTGTTCACTTTCATAAACCTTCTGCTATTATTGGGACAGTAAAACCTATATCCTTTTGTCCTATCTGGATATCCCATGAAATAACAACTTATTGTCTTAGAGTCTAGCTTCTTTTCTATTGGGTTATAAAACTTAGCTTCTGCTTTACTTCCTCATACTCTTAGATGTGAGAGACTTGGTTTTCTGTTACACCATAACTCATAAGGAATTTTGTGCACACTTTTGGGTTGGTATATTGAGCCACAATTCCTTCTGCTGAAGAAATTTGGCAAAAGGTCCTAGATTTCTTCCTTTCTCATCGAATCTACCATAAAAATTTCCTCCCCTATCTAATTTGACTATTTTTTCTTTAAATCCAGTTGGTTTTCTACTTCTGCCTTGTACACTTTGAACAAGTCTAATGCATTTGATTTTTTTGATATCAAGTACACATAACCATATCTTGAGAAGTCATTTGTGAATGTTATGAAGTGCTTGAAACCATTATGTGTTTGAGTAGGAAAAGGACCACATATGTTAGTATGTATTATTTCTAGGGAGACTTTGGAAAAACCCAAAAGAGAGAGAAATTTTGTAAAAGAAGCCAAAATGGACAAATTTGCCCTTATTTATTTTTGGATTTCCTAAGAAATCATTTACACTTGCATGTCTTTGATTTGAAAGTTGAGAGGTTTTTCTGTCTTTTTTGAAAAAGCTTTGGCTTTTTCCAAAAGTGAAAATTTTTTCATGGCTAAAACCTAAATTTACTATATTGGGGATATATTATTTTCTAATAGTTTCTCACTTCTTCTAGCACCTTCTTCCTCAAATTTATCAGTTTTCCTTTAACACATTCTATACAAACATTGTCTTTGTCATGGTGATTACGTGGTGAGAACAATAATTCTTTGCTCAAGAGATTCATTCTTTCATTTGATATATGGCCTAGACTTTTATGCCAAAGTTTGTATGATTCTTCTTTATTTACTTTTCATTTACTGCTTATCACATTGATGCTTAGATTGGCAGTGCTTGGATTTGGTTTCTTGCAATTCAAACGAAACATGCCATCATCTAGAAAACCATTACCAATCATAACTTTATTTCTGAAAATGGAGAATCCAAACTCATTAAACTCCAATTGTAAGTTTGATTTTACAAGCTTACTAATTGAAATAAGATTCTTTTTCATAGAAGGAATATAAGCTACATCTACTAGTTCCAAAATAAAACTAGACTCCAACTTGATCTTAGGTAATCCAATGTACTCCACCTTGACTCTTTGTCCATTTCCCACTCAAACCTTCATCTCAGCCTTGCTTGGCAGCCTCTTGGTTTTGAACCCCTATAAATAATTAGCCACATGAACTGATTTAGCCACATGAACTGATGCCCCACTATCTAACCACCATGAATATGAAGAAATCTCAATTGCATTAGACTCAAAACAAACATTTACTTTATCAATCTTACCTTTAGTCTTTTGCTTATCCAACCAATGCTTGTATTTGTCACAATTCCTCTTCATATGACCAAACTTTTTGCATAAATAGCATTTGATCCCTTTTGGACCTAGCCCTTTACTTTCCTTTTCTTCCTTGTTTTTCTTTCCATCAGTTTTGCCTTTCTCAAATTCCTTTTTGGGTTTGAAGCTCTGAACCATATTGATATTTTCTTAAGCCTTATCTTTCTTCATATTATGTTCTTCATGTACACAGATGCCTTTGAGATCAGTTACTGTCCATATCTCCTTTTGAGCTACATATATGCTTCTCAGATGCTTGAAAGTACTAGGCAGAGAATTTATAGCAAAATGCACCATCATGGTTTCATCCACATTGACATTGAGTGCCTTTAGTTTGTTCCCAATTTCCAGCATGTTCAGTATGTGTGTTCTCATACACTTTTCACCGTTGTATTTTGCATTAGTGAATTGCCCATTAGAGTTCCAATCTCAGCCTTCTTCAATTTCTGGAATTTCTCTCCAATAGAATCAATAAACTTCTTAGCATTATCAGATGGTGTAATGTTTCCCTTGACATATGGTGAAATCGACCTTCTCATTATTAGAATAGTCATTTTGTTTGCCTTAACCCATTTTGCATCAGCAGCAGGTACATCAGGAGTTTCTTCTTCAATAGCCATCTCATAGTCTAACAAACCTAGGAGCAATTTCTACATCTTCCCTCCATTTGTTGTGGTTGGAGCCAATGAGAGTTTCAATCGAGTTGTGATTAACTGAAAAACACATAGTACATGTTCGTTTAAAAACTAAAATCCCCAAAACTTTAAAACATGATCAAATCTTACCTTTAGGCAAAGAAACAAAACATGTTTATCAACACGACATGAAAACCACACAAACTTCTTGCACAAGAAAATTTCTACATCTTTGGACATAAGAAATAATCTAGTTAGTTTATGTGTTTCATCTCCCATGTTGTTCTGCTGCAAATAATTGCATTATGAATCACTCACATCTTTGGACAAAAAGTCATTCATTATGCCTTTATTTGCAGCACAAGTTTGATCATTAAACTTTTGAGTGTACAGATCTTGTAGTGTCTGAGTTGCTTTGGCTTACTTAGAACACGGCAAGAACTATACAAACTAATTGATCAATTCCTTCTTGTTACAGCAAGGTGTTAACCTTAAAGAGTTGTTGTGCCAAGTTTCTTTAATCTTGAAAAACTTAAATTAATCTTCAGTTTTCAAGTTGTTAATGCTTGCGACAAAATGGTAGGTAGAAGATAAAATAACTCATGCTCTGATACCACATGTAAACTTCTTAAGCTATTGAACTTTAAACACTAACCTTGTTCTGCCATAGATATCAAACAAAGTGTGAGAGAGAGAGAGATCTTCTATAAGATTTCTGATGCCTTTATCTCGGTATTCTATATGGGGTGAATATCCTGATGAGCTGAGTCTATCGACTCTTAGAGAGAGCTCTTCTATTTATACGCATCACTCAAGGAGTCTTGCCCATCAAGAAACTCCTTGAGGTATCCTTATTGCAATAGAACAGTGAATCCTTATCCTAATAGAACTAGGAACCCCTTTAGCCTTGTAATCCAATTAAAACACTAATACATAGGCTGCTGGATGAGATTAGTTTGAATCCTTGATTAATCCTAAGTCTTGCAATCCGATAATGATTAGAATAGTAAACTATCTTACAGTTTCACATGAGCTCTTCCAAGATTTTACAATACGATATAACCAAGTAAAGAAACAAACAATTTTAAGTTTTCTTTCTCATGATCTTCGTTTGGTTTTGTTTTAGGCTCTCCCTGAGTTTACCAAAAAAAGGAAAAAATATGTAAAGAGACAAACAATAAAACAAAACAAACCTCTGGGAAAGATGTGAGGAAGCCATGAGACAATGTTGGAGCGATCGCAGGGTTGGCCAGAGACGGTAAGTTTGTGTTGTTTAGGGCAACGAATTCTGGTGCTGGGGTTGGTGTTCTGGTTTCCATTAGTGGCGACAATTTAATGGGATGATGTACTTCTTGAAATCTGATCAACAGAGAAGGACGAAGACACAAATGGATCAAAGGCCATGGCAAGTTTGTTGCAATGATGAAAATAGAAGAAAATAACAAAAAGGGTTGGGCCAACTGTTCCTTCCTTAGATTTGGATATATGGATTGATCACATTTTGGGAGCTCATGGGCCTTGGTTCCTCATGGACCAAACAATCCATTCAATTGGATTTATGCTTGTGTAAACTTGGAATGTTTCAATTATATTTCTTTTGATTTGTTACAACGAGTTCTAAACTGTTGAACACAATGAGATTTTGGGTTAAATGTTTTTTTTTTTTGGGTGCAATTGTATTTCTGATGTGTTTGTTAATCAAAAGTTTGTAGAGGCTTTTAGAATGTTTTCTCCTCTATGTATATTGTTCATATTGTTCATATTGGGCATGTGGTGCTTTTTTTTTTTTTTTTTTTTTTTTTTTTTTTTTAGCTACAAACGAAGATAGAAGTAAAACATGTAATAAATTTTCCCAAAAACTGAAAAATGCATGATAAAATGACATTAAAAGACTCAGTTGAAAAGGGTTTTGACTTATAGACAAGAGATCTTAAGTTCGAACCCTCATGGCATCTTAATTGTGTATGTGTGTGAGAAACTCCCCTCCTCTCTAGTTTAGACTACCAATTATACTAAAAAAACAAAAACAGAAAAACACAGCCCCCCCTCTCCTCAGTCCTCCGTCCCCACAAAGTTTGATGAAAACATACCCACACAAAAAAGGCACAGTGCCTTCTCAAATGGAGGGTTTCCAATCATTTTCATGAATCGTGAGGAACATGCTGAAAGATGGAAAAAACTTACCCTAGCTAACTCCACCCTCGACCACTTAAATGGGTCCCCCTTATCATATTTTTTTGGTAGCACTAGGCACAAAACGAGTAACATGTGCTTGCTTTTCTGCCTTTCCAACCTACCACCTGCTTTCCCATTATTTTCACATCTTCTTGGGATAAATGTGACTTCATTTTTCCAGCAATATTATGTGTTTTACTATCATCATGCAAGTGTGGATTTGATGATTTACTACTTTGTGTCACGGTTTTTGGGAGCTTCTCTTAAAAGATTCAAATAAGAAAAGAAAAAGGGGGGGAAAGAAATTAGAGTAAAATATGAAGAATTGTGGGGTCTACGTCTATCTATTTATTATACCTTTGCAAATTGCAAAGAAGTTGAAAGCAATTTCTGCGAACCAAAATCAGAATGGACCACCACTCTACAAGATAAATATGTTGATCTTTATCACAAAGAAAAAAGACACCTACAGTTCTCACCACTAAATGTATTTGCGGTGAGTATTATCATCACATTAGTCGCCGTTAAAATAAATATTTATTTATTTTTATAATTCCGTAACATATATATTAAATCACGCTGATTCAACAATAATTTAATATAATGATAATGCTCACCACCAAACTGAAAAGAACTCATTATAGCAAAAGCACATGATCGCTCACATAAAAGTTGTGATGTGTGTGTGATCTTGCGTACGTCTTTTTCGCTTTTAATTTCTACTGACCCAAAGTAATGAAGTAAAGTAAAACCCTTTTGATTTCTTATTGTGGCCAATGTCATGTCCACTTTTCATCTTTTAGTCATGAAAATGTAACATTACTTAATGACCTAGAAAATGCTTTGAAAATTAGTTCTGAGAGTCGTTATCACGTGCATATATGAAAGTGCAAAAGCGTAAATAAGAAGATGGCTTTCAATTGGAAAAGAAAAGTCTTACTCTCAACAGCAATACGTCTGGCACTTGGACTTGGGTGTCAATGATGTACACAAAGTCTATGTCATATTTAGATAATATTCATATCAATTATCATCACTCATTAAGAATTACTATATTACAGGTCGATTGTAAGCTACAACATCTCACTGTTCTGACAAACAGATAAAACAAAAGCAACAAATGGAAAACAAATTTGGCGAACAAACTTGCACAATATATATATGACACATTTCATCTTGACTCTGTTTTCTTCGTCTTAACTTGTACTAAAATCTTCATAGAAGAAATTTCATGGGTAGTAACACGCTCCATGATTGACTTGGCTTCTCCCCCGACCATCGGACCTCCAAAAATGGGACCAGGCCGAGCGCTACAGTCTTCTCTAATAGGAGCATTTGTAGCGACAAATATATAACCGACGCATACAACAATTTTTCAATCAAACACCTACTCTAGAGTTCAAGTGCTTTCAAATACTACATCACCCATGTAAACTCGCTAACATACGACGGCCCTTTTGTTTCTGAGCAGCGCATAGCCTTCCCTCCACCTCCAGAATTTGCCAAACAAGACCTCCATGTCTTCAAGGGTTCTACCCTGTGTTTCCGGGAGCATTGTATAAAAGAACACCCAACCAACCGTAGCAATTGCTCCATAAAGAAAGAACGTCCCACCCATCGTGATCGCCTTATACAGCGTGATAAAAGTCATTGTGAGGACTCCACTCATAATCCTATTCACGGCTGTTCCCATGCTGCAACCTTGAGCACGTAGCTTCAACGGGAAGATCTCAGAGCTGTAGACCCACGCAATGGGCCCCATCCCGATCGAGAAGAACCCAACGTAGGCTAATACCATGCTCAAGCACAAAACGGACGCCCACATCATCTTCTCGTTTTCATGATTGACGATTGTGAGGCTCGTACCGAGGCAGAGAAGCGAGGCTATCATCCCGGCCACGCTCGTTAGAAGCAACGGGCGTCGTCCGACCCGATCGAGGAAACCTATGGCAATCAGGGTGAAAATGGTCTTGGAAAATCCAACTGCCACTGTTGCGAGCAGCAACGTGCTAGCGTCAGTGATCCCAGCCGCTTTAAAGATCCTTGGGCTGTACAAAACGAGGGCGTCGATGCCTGACATCTGTTGAAAGAAGTGGAAACCAACGGCTGCAATTAAAATGTGACGAACAGGGGGCGTTGGATGGAGGAGCAATTCCTTCCACACCTCCTCGCCGTGGCTGTGCTTGGGGACCTGAACAACGTCTTCGGTGCAATGCTCGGGGATGCCCGCGGCTTCTTTGATGTCGGCTAGCCGAAGCTGAGCTTCTTCCACGGAGTCTGAGGTTTTGTCGAGGACGTGCTTGGCATCGCCAAGCCGACCCTGCATGACAAGCCATCGAGGCGACTCGGGCATTGTTAAGACACCAACGGCGAGAATAACGGAGGGAAATACGCCGACTCCGAGCATGAGCCGCCAGCCCAAATTAATCGGGAGCCCGGAGAAGGCATAGTTGGCAACATACCCCAATAATATGCCAATATTGACAAAGACCTGTATAAATACATATTCAAACAAATCACCTTGTCAGGAAAAATCAATTAATCAGTTTATATATGCATTTCACAACTTCTTTGTTTAACTAACAATTAATCTGATGCATAAAACATATTCTTAGTACACATTGTTATGTAACTACTGCGAGAAAAATACTCGCGACCTCTTCGTTAACATTGGGAAAGAGTTATTTGAACTTGTCACTAGACAATGAGCTAGTTGGTAACTCACCTCACCACATTTTAATGCTAATACATTTTTTCTAACACCAAACATAAAATACTTTCAAGAGTTATGGGAAAAAAGGTTATTTGGATGGGATTATTTCTATTCCTTTTGATAAGGTTTCTGCAAAACAAGAGTGGAAGGTATGAATTGGGTACCAATTTACAGTACAATAAGTCTAAGTACCAAATAGTACAATGTCCAAAGTTCCCAACCCCAAATCAAAACCATCATCTCATCTCCACATTACTTTAAAATTCTAATGAAACAGAGATACATGAAATAAATAAAGCAAAGCAAAGCAAAGGAAGAGCAAGTTCTTACCTTGAAAAGTAAGCAAAATGGTAAGGATTAAGAAGAGGAATTCTACAAATTCTTAGCAGTGGCTGAAACTCTGCAGAGAAAAGGATAAAACTGTGTCTTTTGGTTTGATAAAAAGTACTCTTTACTCTTTTATTTAATGAATTCTTTTCAGTAATGAGCCACCTTCTGTCATTTTTATTCCATTTTTATTGACCCAAAGTTTGAAGAGTAGAAACGTGGCGTGGGCGGCTTTTCTATTGACCCAAATTTTTAAATCAATTTTAAAATATGTTTCCGACCACAGCCACAGCCACGTCCTCATCCCCATCTAATTGGATGATTGGGCTGAAGTCCAGCTGTCTTGAAGCCAAATGCCCAAAATAGTAATTTAAGCAAATGTCTAAAATTGTAATTTGAGCAAATGTCCAAAATAGTAATTTAAGCACATGTCCAAAATTGTAAATTAAGCAAGGAGAAGACCCACCAACCTCCGGGAAAGACGTGAGGGCGCCGCGAGATGACGCCGGGGAGACCTCGGCGTTGTAGACCGGAGCGATCATCAGGGCGTAGCCGACACCGATTCCGGCCACGAACCGACCGACCATGAGGAAGGCGAAGTTGGTAGCGAAGCCCATGAGGAGAGCTCCGGTGAAGAATATGGCTCCGGCGAAGACGATAGTGTACCGGCGGCCAATCCAGTCGGAAGTTCTGCCGGCGGCGGCGGAGCCGATGAGCGAGTAAAGGTTCAGAATCCCGATGAGGATCTCAACTTCCACGTCCGAGATTTTCAGGTCCTCCTGTATGTAGATTGAAGCTCCACTCATCACACCAATATCTACAGAAATCAGTAGAAATTAAAATTATTAGGCGATGAAATAAAAACAAACAAAAACAAAATTGAAACTTGAGGAAGCGATGAATGATTTACCGTAGCCCAGCAAGATTGAAGTCATGGAGGCCAAAATGGCGCAACCGATGGCGTACAGGTTTCTTTTGGGCTTCTTCTTGAGCAGGGGCTGGCCGGAGACGGCGTTGTCTTCAGCTCTATGGTCAGTCATCTTGAGCTCTGTGGTGTTTGATTGCAGATCAGTGTGATTTAGAGAGAAGGAAATTTGGCCACGCTTGGGTTTGGGGCTGCAGAGGGGTTGGGGTTAAATAGACACAAAAGGAAAAAAAAACAAACAAAAGCTCACGTCGCTTTCATATCAGAACATATTGGGTGTGTTTTTTTTTTTTTTTTTTTTTTTTTTTTTTTTTTGTTTGGTTGGGGGTGGGTGGGGATAGTTTTTTGAGATATAGATACTTTTTTTTTTTTTTTTGTCACACTTGGGCATGGGAAAGAAAGAAAGTAATCACTTTATAAGAAGCGTCTCTTATTAGCACAATTCCCTTGATCCACCACCAACTTGCTTCACAATTACGACAAATATCTATTGTAGCTTATCTTGACACGCAAACGCTGGGCCCAATTGAGGTTCAGATCAACTACAATGGCCAAGTGAAATCTTAATGTCTGTATTGACGGAGATTTCAATCCAAAAAGGTTTCAAATTCCGACGTTTTTCTTTTGTTTCAGTACAAGCGATTGAGGGTGGATCCATGAACTTTTTAGCAGGGTGCAAGACAATCACATACGAGGAATGCTAGTTACCTTCTCTCTAACCTTTTTCTTTGGACTTTCTTCCTTTTTTACTTGACATGTATCATTCTCTTTATACTTAAAACAATGTAATTAATATATTATACAAGCTAACTTTTGCTTTCCAAATTTACCCTTATTAAATGTATTCAACTTATCCAAAAAAATTTCAAAACTATCTTACCATCTTATTAATTTTTATCTAACCTCAATTATTTTTATAAATAAAATATTTGATTTTAAGAGGAAATGTCCCCCCCTTTTTTTTTGGGAGTTTCACTAAAACATCCAAAATGGGGGCTGAAATTATAAAAAAACCCAACACCCAAAATACTTTATAAACACACCCAAAGCCCATCATTACACACACTCAAAACCCATTTATAAACACACCCAAAAAATATACAATTGTTGATTTTGGGGTTGATTTTTGGTGTGTTTCTATGTTTAAATAGTGCTTGGGTTTTTTTATAAATACATGTCTAGGATTGGGTTTATTTATAAATTTGTATTTTTTTTTAACACAAAGGGTTTAGATAGAAAAAGAAAAAGAAAAAAGTCCTTCGTGTTTAAAAAAAACGGACATTTCATGTTTTTGAAAAAAGTAGACATTTTCTTTATAAAAAATAATTGACGTTTGAAAAAAATTCAATAAGATGGTAAGAAAGTTGTGAATTTTTTTTGGATAAATTGAATACATTTAATAAGGGTAAACTTGGAAATGAAAAGTTAACTTGTATAATATATTGATGACATTGTTTTAAGTGTAAGGAGACATGACACAAGAAAAAAAAAAAAAAAAAAAAAGTCCAAAGGAGAAGGTTAGAGAGAAGGTTGCTAGCATTCCCCATCCCATATTTGAAAGGCCAATTATTATCACAAGAAAAACGAAATTGAGGCGATGGTTGCCGAAGAAGAAAAAAAAATCGCAGCTTGTTTGATGAACTTACTTTGAAAGCTTGATCGATACAATATTTTCGTTATTGGCACAAGACTTGATAGATGAATCCGTTTTTATAAAAGACTGGAGTTTTCTCAAACAAAAAAACAACGAAGAAAACAAGAAAAGAAAAAAAAATACTTGGTGGTGGAGATGTAAATAAAATTTATGAATTTTATAATCTTTTTATAAGGACTTGGATTGGATTGGTGGGTGGGCACATAATCAAAAAGGGAATTTATTTAAATAAAACAAAATCTCCTTAAGAAGGCTTCATTAAAATAAAAATAAAAAATCTCTTTAAGAAGATTCCCTACTTTTCCATCTACAGCACATGGGAGTTTCCTTTCTTTCTTTCTTTTTTTCTTTTTTCTTTCCTTATTAAAAACGACGTCATTTTGGCCATAGATTTTTTTTAAAAAAAAATACAAGCGCGCAACAAAGGGCACAAGGAAAGCAAACCTTTTGTAGAACAGGTACAGTGCACAACCAGACTGAGCGAAGGGGCAACTTTCTGTCACTTACAACTCTTTCTCCAGCGAGAGGAGGTGCACCTCATTGCACCTCTGTAGGTCAGCCAGTGATGGGGGAGGAGGGGCTTACAAAATTATTCATTGGATGTCGAGGGATTTCGAACCTCTGCACACATGAGTGGAGGTGAAAAAGTCCTAAAGACCAAGTTTTTGTAAATATATGAAATGCGGATGACCACTTATTAGTGTAATTAGTAACTTCTAACAATTTGGGGGTTAAAGTTCAATTGTTATAAGCATATAACTAGGTGTTTATCCAAGATGAAAGATACAAGTTTTTTAAGCCATTTCAATTGTATTTCTCTACTTCTCACTTATATAACACGTAGGACCTGCCTTAGGGGTGGGCAGGAAGGGCCATGGCCATAGGCCTCCAATCAAGGGGGCCCTAAATTTTTTATATATTATGTATATATATATATATATATATATATTTCCAACTTTAAAAAATAATAATAATAAGCTAGTGTTGTTGTATATCTCTTGATTTGACCCCTCCATTCAAAAATATATTTTAGAACCAAGTGAAATCTTTAGGGTTTTAAATGTATATTTTCTCCAATGCTCTATATGAGGTTGCACCTTAATGGGTTTTTATAGACATTCCAATCCAAAAAAATAAAAACTCAAAATCTTATTGTAAATATATGGAATGTGGATGAGCATCACAACATCTATAACCTCCACCATTTTAATGATTCGTAATTTATGCCCTTATTAGTGTAATTTGTAGCTTGTAACCTACAATTTGTAGATTCCTCCCATCTTAAGTCTATAAATAAGTACTTACTAAGGTAGCGTTTGGTATTGCTTAAATTTTAAAAAAAGCGACTTTAATAAAAATTTTGCAACACTATGGCGTTTGGTAAACATCAAGAAGCAGGTTTTTTAAAAAATTGCGGTCAATGACAACTGTTTTTTCAAAGCAGCAACAACCCAGCTTTTAAAAGATGCTTTAAAAAAAATTTAACCGGTGGTTTTAATGAAATTTTGACTTTCCCATAATGCCCTCATTTATTTTTCAAATAGACAGCCCTTATCCCCCCAATACACATCGAGCGACACAAACTCCTCGTCTTCTCCATTCTGCAAACTCCCATTTTCTTCTTCATTATGTTCATTCGCAACCCTCCCTCTTTCTATTCGTTCTAACTCACATCCCTTTTTCTATTCGTCGTCTGCAACAAACCCCACCCAAGCACCAACCACAACCACAACCTCCGACCATGGGTTGTAGACTACGATGATGACAGAAGAGCACCGATTGCAGATGACCACTAAAGGCTGATGACGAGACTCCACAGCATGGATTATAGATGACGATGACGACTGTGCAAGGAGGACGACTTCTCTGGGCAGAGGGAGAAAAATAGAACAAGGAGAAGGAGTATAGTAGAATTTTTATAATAAAAAATGTGCTAAGAGAAAGGAGAAGAAGAAGCAGGCGGCAGGAGGAAAGAGAAGAATAAGATGAAAAAGAAGGAGCGGCAGAAAGATGCAAAGATCTGGAAAGAAAAAAGGGGTTCCCATAAGAAAAAAAAAGGAGATGCACAGAGAGACGAAAAAGTTTGACCCAAAAAAAGAGTAAATTTATAAAAAATAAAAAAAATTTTGTTTTTGTTTTTGTAATTTTTAAAGTAGAAAAAGAAATAAGAAAAAAACAAATAATTTCATCATCATGATTCATGTCTTTTTTTGTAATTATACACACTAAAAAGCACTTTTGATAAAAATTTACCAAACACTTTGACTACTCACAGCACTTTTTTAAATATAGTTTACCAAACACCTAACTAATTTTTTTCACAGCTGATTATTCTCGCAGCATAGCAGAAGCAGTTTTTTTTTTAAAGCACAGCAATGCCAAACTAGCCCTAAATACTAAAGATACAAGTTTTTAGAGGAAATTCTATTGTTTTTCTTTACCTCTCACTTCTCTCTACTATTTGCCCTTAAGTTACATAATAAAAATAAGATTTCTTTTCATATCACTCGTTGGATCAAATAAAGTACGTTCAGTCTCATCTGTCAAATTTGTACATTTGACTTGAACAAAATCCAAGATTCTGATCAGATGAGATTTAATTTCACATCAATCTCTAAATTTTTTTGTGAGATAATGGAGTTAAGGTTTATGGCAGACAGAAAATATTTGGGACTTCCTACAGTAGCTAGAAAAAATAAAAAATTGTTGTTTTGCACTCTTAAAGATCGCATCTGGAAGAAGATCACTGGATTGGAAGGTTGGTTACTCTCGAAAGCTATGAAGGAAGTTTTGATTAAGGTAGTTTGCCAAGCTAAGTCTACTTACTCAATGAGCATCTTCAAGCTCCCCATTGGTGGTCTAAGGGTGCTACGCGAGAGATTCATTGGAAAAACTGGAAAGCACTATGTCAATATAAGTCGAAAAAAAGGTTGGGTTTCCGGGAGTTAGTTAGTTTTAACAAAGCTCTATTGGCAAAACAAGGTTGGTGTCTTATAACATCCCACATTGACCAACGGAGAATGGGTGATGTGCCTTATATGTACATGCCCACCTTCATATAGTACGAGGCCTTTTGGGAGCTCACTGGCTTCGGAGTCATGGGAACTCCAAAGTTAAGCGAGTTTGGGCTAGAGCAATCCCAAGATGGGTGACCCACTGGGAAGTTGCTCGTGAGTTCCCAAAAATAAAACCGTGAAGGCAGAAATGGGGGCCCAAAGCGAACAATATCGTGCTACGGTAAAGCCAATTCGAGATGTGACAGAATGGTATTAGAGTCACTCTGCCGTGTGGTGCGAGTGTGCCAACGAGGACGTCGGGCCTCTCAAAAGGATGGATTGTAACATCCCACATCGACCAACGGAGAAAGGGTGATGTGCCTTATATGTACATACGCACCTCCATCTTGCATGAGGCTTTTTGGGAACTCACTGGTTTCAGAGTCATGGAAACTCTGAAGTTAAGCGAGTTTAGGCTAGAGCAATCCCAGGATGGGTGACCCACTAGGAAGTTGCTCGTGAGTTCTCAAAAACAAAACCGTGAGGGCAAAAAGGGGGACCCAAAGCGAACAATATCGTGCTACGACGGAGCCAATCCGAGATGTAACATGTCTGCTCCAATCTCCGAATTCCTTTGTAGCCCAGATGCTAAAAGCTAGGTATTTCCGTACTACTGGGTTCCTAAGTGTACAGTAGGGTTCGTCTCCTTCCTATACTTGGCAGTCTATTCTATGGGGTCGAGAGCTCTTACTCTGTGGTTTGCAATAGCGGATTGGTGACGGTCAGCTGGTACAAATTTATGGTAATGCCTGGATTCCCCACTGCCTCATATTCACAGTTCAAACTGCTCCACGTGTCCTTATTTCGGCAAGTGGGCAATGGGATGTTCCCAAGGTTAATAGTTTATTAGTAAATTTAGGTTTTAGCTATAAACAAAATTTCACTTTTGGAAAAAGCCAAAGCTTTTTCAAAAAAGACAGAAAAACCTCTCAACTTTCAAATCAAAGACATGCAAATGTAAAGGATTCCTTAGGAAATCCAAAAATAAATAAGGGCAATTTTGTCCATTTTGGCTTTTTTTTACAAAATTTCTCTCTCCTTTGTGTTTTTCCAAAGTCTCCCTAGTTTATTTACTTTCATGGAAGCGGAGACTATCTTGTATATACCTTTGGTTAGTGATAACGTCGATCGTAGAATTTGGCACTTTACTACACATGAGCGATATATTGTGAAGAGTGGATATTGGGTTGCCCTAGAATATTAGAATTTTTCTCTTAGTCATACTGGCATTGGTACTAGTTATTCTCCATCACAAAAATTATGGAAGCATCTTTGGAAAATGAAAGTGCCGGCGAAAATACAACACTTTTTTTGGAGATTCGCTCAGAATGGCATCTAGACAAAAGCTGTCCTTTTTCACTATAAGATCGCCATGGACGTGACTTGTTTTCGTTGTTCCACTGGTTGTGAAACAACAGTTCATGCCCTACGAGATTGCCTAGCTATTCATCCCGTATGGGAGTCTTCAGAACTGCTGACATTTTTTCTTGGTTTGACTCTGGATAACGCAACTACTTGGCTGTTGGTGGCATGGGATTTAATCCCAACTGTCCAGCAACCTTTTTTTGTTGCTGTGCTGTGGCTACTGTGGAATGATCGGAATGTTGTCCTTTTTTGTTCTTATCCTATGTCTATGGAGCATCTCTTTTTCTGTGCAAAGAACTATGTTGCATAATATCATCAATCTCAGTTACTACTTCATAGGTGTATTTCTTTGCCCATTTCGGACCAACATTAACGTCCTCCTCAGATTGGTTATTTTAAGCTCAATGTCGATGGTGCTTTGAATTTTAGGGATGGTCTCCAGGGGGGTAGGTTTGATTGTGCGAGACTCACACATCATTCTTATAGGGGCGATGACAATAAGGACACCTAGTCTCATGTCTGTGTTGACTACCAAGCTCTACGCTCTCAAAGTGGGTCTCTCTTTTGCCTTAGATGCATCACTTATGCCTATGGTAGTTGAATTTGACTACTTGGTTGCAGTGCAGTTGCTATCAAATGAGGAAAAATGTTTAGCTCCTAAGTGAGTGCTTGTGACAAAAATTCGGCATCTTCTTCTGGCGTTATCCTCCTGTGTTAGTTTTGTCCCTTGTACTACCAACATTGTGGCTCATCGTATTGCATGTTATAGTCTTCGTGTGGATGAGCTTTTTTATTGGTTGGCTGATGGACCTCCTTGGCTCCTAGATGGCGTTAGGGAGGATTCGTCTCATTTTGTCTGACTTTGTAATAGGGGTGTGTTGGTTCTGCGCAAATCTCACGGCCTGGTGCTCCGGGCCGAGGGGATGTGCATCAACACGCAACGTCCTTCTTTTGGATGCGGTGCGGTTGTGCGCGGGCGTGCTAGCACGGTCTACCGTGCGTCGAGAAATGATGATGAGGTTCGGGTAGAAGATGGTTAAATGTTGCGCCTGTTTTGCGTTCGACTCCTAATCAAACGATTGTGGCCGAGAGAGGAACTGATCTCAGCCATCAGGTTCACGGCTTGAGCTACAAGGCCGTTTAGTGGTGGTGTTGGTGGCGGGTTTTAAGCGGTGCTCCGCCGTGTTGCTCAGAGAGCGACGGTCGTATGATATATGGGGTGAATGAGACGATAACAGAGATGGTGCTTCGGCGCCTTGAAAATCAAATAAGGGTATTGAAAATGTATTACATGAAAATATAATTTGCTCCGTGGGAGGCTTTTGGTTTGGTGTTTGAACACTTTGAATGTAGTCCTGAGCTTAGTATTTATAGGATGAGTCCTGGAGGGACAATCGAGGCTGAAAAGACCTGCGTGGTGGAGCCTGATCGGGGCAAGTGGGTAGTCAAATCAGCATTTGGAATCGTGAAGCATGGTGGTTTGGGATCGTGAAGCATGGTGGTGTCACTCCCATAAATCCCGGTAAATCTCGGCCACCGCCCTGATCGTGGGTTCTGCCCCCTTGGCCGTGGGAACGCATTTAATACCCTGGTCTGGTGGTTGGTGATCTGACCTCAAGTCGTAAAATTACTTATGAGAATGTCTGCGCCTAACCACCCTGATTCCCATCACCAAATCCTGACTTCAGTCACTTCCCTTATTCCCTTGTGCATTAAATGCTTCTTGGGACTAGTGGGTTTGTTGCGAAAGTCAGAGGCATTACTTCATTAAATGGGGCATGGGATCCTGAGGCCACGTGGCAATTTAACCACAGTTTCTTCAGCCGTGTCTTTTACGGCCTTCGGCTTTGGCCCTTGGCTTCGACTCTCAATACTGTGGTCGCGAGCCCGATAGATTTATGCCTTTGCAGCTTTTCTTTTGTTTTTAGGAAGGCAAAATGCTTAACGAAACGATAGGCGCTAGGACCGAGAGGAAGTTCCTTTAATCAATTTATGACCGTGATTTATTAGGCACAAACAGAGTGTTGACTCTTTTGTTTAGTCATTAGCATGGGTGGTGCTCTTTCCTACTCTAGAGTTTTATCCCTTATGGTTTTTCCTTGGAAGGTTTCAGTGTGGTCACCGTTAACATGCTCATTCTTACCATGTAATATTCTCTTTGGGTTGAATGCAATACCATTTCTCTCTCACAAAAAAAAAAAAAAAAAAAAAAAAAAAAAAAAGAAGTAGGATGATAGTCTTAGAGGCGAGGGTGTGTGAAGAGAGTGTTTATTAGTAAAGTGGTTCAATTGATTGTTAATGGTATTGTAGGAACAATGGTGTGTGGGATGATACTATCAATCATTTTTAATTTCATGGTGGGTGAACTATAGGGTGTGTGGGGATATAGGATAGGGCAGGGAATTTCACTATGTCTTTTGGGAATATATATATATATATATATATTTATTTAAAATAATGAGATATAGTTATTATGGATGAATAAACAAAAGTACAAAAAAATATGGTGTTGAATATGGATAAATCTTCTCTAGTGACCAAATACAACAACATGTTGAATTAATCGGGCCACACATCACCCAAAAAATGACTAAAATCCATGATTCAGCAACCATAAGTACATGTACACAATCTTGCAATACAAATCCACCACGCAACGGAAGAAATGGCGAATTAATATTGAAAGCCAAAAACTAAAAAGAAATTAAACTTCCTTAATAGAAAACAAACCACAACAAACTCCTAAAGAGTTCCTAAAAATTATTAGACTAAAACAAACTCAGAAGCAGTACCACCACTCCACATCCTCCCAGGCAACTTGAAGAGAGACATAGCGTCACACCAACTAAATCATGGTGTCTCATCGGCTAAACATGAACCCAACGCAACCTGACATCTTCCTCTCTTTGCAAGTATGTCGAAGGCTGACAACTTGAGCCAAATCCTTATGTATGTGGACCAAAAGACTGTGACTATATCATGGAAATTACAGAGTTTCACGGTGGCTGCTTCCACGTCATAAAACAAACAAGAAGGATCATTGGGAAAAATTCAAGTAGAGGGTCCAGATCATTACGAAACTAAGGACATTGTGAATCCAAAGTAATAAAGTAACAAGTTTTACTTATTATTATGAAATCTATTGTGGCCCCATCTTCAACATGGAATGGACGCAACAACATCTTTTTTCTCATAGCTGATTGAGCCATACAGTAAACTCTGGAACGAACGCTCAGTCTCACTTTATCCCATGAAACTAAAATTTTCTCACTTAACTCCCAAAATCTGTAAAAATTGTTGAAACTTTTCCACTTTCGTCCATAAAATCGTTAAGTGTGCTGATGTGGCATGGACATTTTTATCATTTTAGCTCCTCTCTCTCTCTCTCTCTCTCTCTCTCTCTCTCTCTCTCTCTCTCTCTCTCTCTCTCTCTCTCTCTCTCTCTCTCTCCCCTCCCTGACCCAACCCTTCCTGATATTACTCAACACAACCAACTTACACATCAACCCAAACCACTACCTTTATCCCCTCCCTTGAAGCAATGCACTCTAGCGAACTCCATCATCATCATTATACGCAACCCCCAACCCTATTTTTGTTTGATGGCCTCAATCCACCGGATTCAAGTGCGGTTTTTTTTTTAATGAAATTAAAGGAGAGGGAAGAGGGAAGTGGGGAGGCGAGAGGGAGAAAATGGGGTGGCGGGGTTGGGCTGTGTGCTTTGGGGATGGGGGTGACCAGGGAGAAATTGAGGTAAAGATTGGTAAGATGATAGGGAGGGGAAGAAAGGGAAGAGGGGGTTGTTTAACCCTAAAAAAAATTAAAAATTAAAATCAGTTTTTATATTTGATTTTAAAAAAAATAATAGCTAAAATTACTAAAATACCCATGCCACGTTAGCACACTTAATCGTTTAGTGGGCAAAAAATGGACGGAAGTGGTAAAGTGAGAAAATTTCATCAATGTTTAGAGATTCTAGAGGTTAAGTTTGAAGATTTCAATTTGAGGAGGTAAAGTAAGACGAGCGTCCGTTCCAAGGGTAAAACAGTAATTACTCCTTTTTAAAATAAATAAAAATCTTATAGTTCTTTTTTTCTTTTCTTTTTTAATTTATTTATAAGTAGATAAGATTAACCACTCAAGGTACAAGGTATGATCTCACCATTGGTACGTAGCTTAATTCAAAGTCCCTTTCTTTTAAAACGATCGAAGAGTGAATTTGGCACAATCTTCACTAGTTCTCTATGAAATAGTTATTTTTCTGAGCTTGGAAGGAATGACATTTGAAAGTTTAAACGCATCCTTCTCTTCTTCTTATCGTAGTTATGTTGTGGATTAGAAGGGAATTTGAAGACGGAAAGACAAGTTTCATTATCATTTGTTTTAATGTTAAACTAAATCCACAAAGAGAATAATGTTCCTTGGAACTTGCCGATTGCTCCTTGTCATTTATTTTTGTCTTGTTTCAAACCTTGTCATTTTCAATTCGTCTCTGAAATCGATATTATCCAAACTTAAATCATAGAATAAAGAAAGAAATGAAGTGTTGATTGAAGCAAATTTGGGTCGTTAATTTTATTCTTATTATAATGAAGGTAAGGTTTTAAATTGGCCAGTGTTGCATTCTGGTTGTTGTAATGTTTTGGCAGTTGTGCCATTTGCAAGGAGAACTTGCATGTCACGAGATAATAGTATTTTTTTTATTCTCAAATAATCACGTTTTGTTATATAGAAAAGTTATCACTTGTAGTGAAACATAATTGATTGGGAATAACAAAACAGTACTATTTCCGTGATATATAAGTTTTTCTTGTCCTTTGATGAATAAAAGCTTTTCTCTTTTGATTTTAATTTTGATTTTTTTTCAAAGATGAGAACAAATATATATATATTTGAAGTTACTCTTACAAGTTACAACTGTGGTTTTGCAATACTGCTATTTATCACCGACATTGCAGTCCAGGATATATATTGGACTATATGACTAAGACCCTCAAACATCCATCTTCATCAAACAAAACAAAAAAATAAGAGAAAAAAAAAAAAAAAAAAAAAAAAAAAAAAAAAAAAAAAAACACCAAATAATGCCCACCAAGCCCATGTCTTTTTTTGGTCAAATAAATACCCACCCACCAAGCCCAAAATAATGCGCACTTAGCCCATGTCTGATGAGCTGAGAACAGAACAATTTTTATTCTTTTAATTCTTTTATTTGTGAATTGGCAGGCCTTAGCCCAAAAATAATGAATAAATAAATAAACCAACACACATATACAGCTCTATCATTTTCTTTTTTTGTCCTTTTCTCATCAATTGATGAGAGATTTGAACTAATTGATTTTTTATTTTAATAAAAACGATATTATAATTTAAATGAACATTTTTTTTGTCAGGAATTAATGATTAATATGGCTCCCCAAAAACATGTTAAAGATTTTCAAAAATATTAGAATCTAGAACAAAACGACTGGTCGTTTTCAGGCAGAAGCTATAGACTTCATCTCTGTATAAAGATGACTGTCGGTCGAGAAAAATGACTAGTCGGTTCTTGTCTTGGTGCAATTTTGAAGCACCTCTTCAGTCATGTGGTATGCCTCTTGATGCCTAAGTGTTTGAATTATGTATATGAACGTTAGAAACACTACATATACATGATTTAAACATAAAGACACATTCTTTCATGAAGAAAAGTGTCCTTGTTGAAGTGGTACCTCTTGATAAAGAGGTACAATCCAAGAGATGTATAGTTTCTGAATTAGGAGTTAAACCAATTCAAAAAATACACCAATTCCTCTATAAATAGAGATGAATATACAACACCTACTTTCCAAGGAATATGACAATTCAAGCCACTTTTCACATTATTTGATGACCAAAATTTAAGAAAATTGAGTGTTGCAATGCTTGATCAGTTGGTCCTTTCAAAGAATGAAATTGAATACAGTAAAAGAAATTTGGCCCTTTTCACATTCAATTATTTCAAAATCACAATCACGACTGATTGTGATTTGCACAAACTCTATTTCTTGTGAAACACAAGATAATAAAGTCTATAAAAGCTATAATGTGACTCAAGAAATCAAATGAGAGCAGCCAAAAAAAAACACAACTAAATGATAAATTAAAGCAATGAGTAATGCTATATTTACCACTGATATGCCTATATTTTATATATATGTTATGCCTCCTTTACTTATTTATTTGTTAATTTTCATGAATTAAATTGCTTGTTTTAATTGGTTTTGTGAGATTTGTGAGGGAATTGTGAAATATGAGAAATGAAGGTAAAAAGGGGCAAAAAGATGAAGATTGAAGATTAATTAAAAGAAGCCAAGTCATTCTTTTTGTTGCCAGGAGTGTTGTCAAATTTCCTAGTTTAAGATTTGTTCAAGTCTTACCAAGTTAAATAAGGAGAAATAAAGAAGACCCTATATTAAAAGAAATCATACTTTTATAATAATTGTAAATATACCTTAGATATATAGGATTTGTTGGAGTATTATAGATAGGGAGTTTAGGCCATTAATCAAAGCCTCATCCATCATCAAATTCCACACATTCATATTCATAGCTGAAACACTCAAATGAGAATACGAAGACAGCTTGTGCAACCTTGGCGTTTTACTTGGAGAATTCAGTGTCTTCCATGTCTTCATCAACCATCGTGATTCTCAATAAGTCCTCCATGAACTAATTTCTTTTATTAAGGCTACGAAGTAGCCTAACTATGAATACTCAAATTCTTTGATATTGTTAATTTTATTTATCTATATATGTTGAATGCTTACTATTCTTAATTCTTTCAATTAATTGGCCACTAATTGCATGATTGGAAGAATTGGGTTGAGACCGGAAGGAGATTCCTAATAAAAAGCTTCTTGTAACAAGTACCATAAATTACATAGCCGACTCGGAAGATTAGGTTATAGTTTGTGTAGTCTTTAATGTTTTCCAGAAATGTTAATGGGTCTTAGCCATTTAAACCCATAACTAGGAGTAGAGTGGGTTGATGGTAGACTTAGCAATGTTGCACACTTCACGAATTTGCTCAAAATTATCAATATTTGAGTTGAGCTTAATGGGTCTGGTTGAAAACTGGTGAATCCGTTAGCCACCAGTTAAGTTAACAGGTCATGTCGAATCCATTCACGAATATTCATTATCCACCCGTTAAGCAAGGTAGTTTTGTAATTTTGTGTAACAATTCATATTAAAACAAAAACAAAAACACCAACCTAACTTCACTTTGTTTTTTAATCTTCTCTCTCTCTCTCTCTCTCTCTTTCTTTTTCCTCTTCTTTTTTTCATCTTCTTCCCTGGCACAGTTTCTTCTTCCTCTCTATTTTTTTTTCTTCTTCTTGCTGTTTCCCCATTTTTCTTCTTCTTTATATATTTTTTATTTCCTTCTCTCTTCTCTCTATGTTTCCTTCTCATGAGTACATTTCCTTCTCTCTTTTTTTTTAGAATCTAAATTTCTTTTCTATGTTTCCTTCTACGGATGTAAAAGGTGAGAACCAGTGAAGAACTTCTTCTTTGTCCATCCACGTGGGTTGGGTTTTTGACTTTTGAGTGGTGGTTGTTTATGAGATGGAAATCGGGAGAGAGGACAGAGTTAAGGGGTTGTTAGCTGGGCTCGGAATCGGTGATGGTTTTTTTTTTTTTTTTTTTTTTTTTTTTTTTCTTAACGAGTCGTGTCTGATATTCGCGAATTGTAACAGATCGTGTTTGGTTATAGTATTTGTCACCCGTTAACTTAACGATACTCTATTTACTACTATACTAATTTAAACGATATTGTCCACTTGCAATTAATCACATCAACCACATAAATTTCCACAGTGTATGCACCTAAAAATCAGACTGGACCACCTATTTTAAGTGGAAAATTGTACCAAAAAAGAAAAAGAAGACACAAACAGAGAAAAAGTTAAACCACCCTCAACGTCAAAAGGAATTATCATATATACATGAAAATCAAAATGCAGCTCACATAGCCTTCATTTTTTCACTGCCTTCCCTCCCCAATTATTGGAGTTTTGTCCTTTCCCTTTTCCAAGAATGTATTTTAAAAACTTGGTCTTATATTGTTTTCTTTTCCGTTTCTAATTTTTACATCGGCTACGAAAATTCTTATCACACCCGCAAATAATCACATGCATATATAAGAAAAGCAAAAGTTGCAAATAACTGTTGTTAATAGGACATGTTTTTGGTGGTTTGGGTGTCGAAATCACAAGTCTATATCATAATTCATTAATAATATCTATCTCATTGCTTTGGAAAACCCTTTCATCTTTTATAGCAGATTTAGAGAAGAAATACTTGTACTTGTGAATTACATATAACTGAAGCATACAAAAGAGTCTATATCTACTACAATATACTACCATCCAGTGGATTGACTAATCAAATTAGCTACCCCTATTGTTCCTAATTGGATTTCAGGGTTGTTGGGATTATTGTTGCCATCACCGTGTTCACCTTGCTTCTTCTGTTTCAGGAGTGCATTGGCTTTTCTCCACCTGTAGAATTTTCCAAACAAGACCTCCATATCCTCAAGGGTTCTACCCTGCGTTTCTGGGAGCATTGTGAAAAAGAACGTCCAGCCAACCGCTGCAATTGCCGCAAAAAGAAAGAAGGCCCCGCCAATTGTGATGGCCTTGTACAGCGAAATAAAAGTCATCGAGAGGACCCCACTCACCACCCTGTTCACGGCCACTCCTATACTGCAACCTTGAGCACGTAGCTGCAACGGGAAGATCTCAGAGCTGTAGACCCATGTGATGGGGCCCATCCCGATCGAGAAGAACGCGACGTATGCTAATACCATGGTCAAGCACAAAACAACGGCCCACATGATCCTCCCTTCGTGGTGATGATCGATAATCGTAAGGCCCAAACCGAGTAATGCAAGCGTGACTACCATGCCGGCCACACTAGTCAGAAGCAACGGACGTCGTCCGAGCCGATCGAGCATAAACGTGGCGACCAAGATGAAAACGGTCTTGACGAATCCAACAGCCACAGTGCAGAGTAAAACTTTGTCGGCGTTGGTGATCCCAGCCTTCTCAAAGATCCTTGGGCTGTACAAAACGACGGCGTCTATACCCGACGCTTGCTGAAAGAAGTGTAAACCAACGGCACACATTAAAATATGACGGACGGCTGGTGTTGGATGAAGGAGCAACTCTTTCCACACGTCTTGGCCTTGGCTGCGCTTCTTCACCTCAACGATGTCGTCGTTGCAGTGTTCGGGGATGCCGGCGGCTTCTTTGATGTCGCCTAGCCGAAGCTTGGACTCTTCTAGGGAGTCTGAGGTTTTGTCGAGGACTTTCCTGGCGTCCCCGAGCCGACCCTGCATGACGAGCCAACGAGGCGACTCCGGCATGGCTAAGACGCCGATGGCTAGGAAAATAGCGGGGACGGCTCCCACACCGAGCATGAGCCGCCATCCCAAGTGAGTTGGGAGCTTTGAGAAGCCATAATTGGACACGTAGCCGAACAATATCCCAGCATTGATAAACACCTATTAAAAAAAAAGAGAAATAATCAATTAAATATGCACTGGCCAAAAATATTTTATTAAAATTAATTTACACCTATTTAACAAACAAACGTTACTCTATTAAATATGATTTCATATTTGATTTTATCCATAGCACATGAAAAGTGCTTTTATAAGCTCAGAAGCACTTTTATAAACCAAACAAGAAAAATCTTTTATTTTTGTTATGATATGAAAATACTTGTAACAAGTCTAAAAAGTTTCCAACCAAACTTCTCGAACCTTCAACCGAAAACCCAAAACGCAAAATTCCCAACCACCTCCAAATTTAAAAGCAAAGAAATAAATGGATACTTGGGTAAGATCAAAAAGTATATTCTAAGCTTTCTTGAAGATAATATCCAAGATTATGGTTAAACAAAGTAGGAAGAAAACAAACCTCTGGGAAAGATGTAAGGAACCCACGAGACGACGCCGGAGAGACCTCGGCGGTGTACACCGGAGCGATCATGAGGGCGTAGCCGACGCCAATTCCGGCGACAAACCGGCCGAACATGAGGAAGGCATAGTTGGGGGCAAATCCCATGAGGAGGGCTCCGGCGAAGAAGATGCCTCCAGCGAGGACTATGGTGTACCGACGGCCGATCCAGTCGGAAGTTCTGCCGGCTGCGGCCGAGCCGATGAGAGAGTAAAGGTTCAGAATACCGATAAGAACCTCAATTTCTACGTCGCTGACTTTGAGGTCCTTTTTTATGTAGATTGCAGCTCCACTCATCACACCAATATCTGTACAGAAAACCAGCAACAACACATGCATGGAGGCAGCTTTGTTTAGAAACTTTCTAAAAACCAAAACAAACATAAAAGCTTCCAACAATGTTTCCCATTTTTTTGGAAATAAGTCTCCATTAATTTCTTTAACACATAAGAACATAGAGAAAAAAAACACATCAAAATTAAGATTGCTTTAATAATTGAAGTATTTAGTGGTTAAGAGTAATTATCCAGATATGAGGTAACGCTTTGGGAACCCCAAAAAAATAAAAAATAGAAGCTGAAGTTTTAATCATATTTACCATAACCAAGCAAGATGGAAGTCATGGAAGCCAAGATGGCACAAGCAAAGGCGTACTTGTTTCTCTTTGGCTTCCCTGGGGGATCAAAGTCTGCTATGGTTTTCTGGGGTTGGCCGGAGACGACGGCATTATCTTCAGCTCTCCGGTCAGCCATCGTCTTAGAGACAGAGACAGAGACTGGAGAGTTGCCTAGAAAAATGGCCTCAAATTACAGAAGTGAAATCTAGAGAGAGAGAGAGAGAGATTTATGTGGACATGAAAGGAAGCAGAAATAATAGTGGATATGCAGAGTTGGGTTGAGCTGTGGAGAGTGTCGTTTAAATAGACCCAAAAAGCTCACATCACTTTCATAACCATTGCATCATTCTTGTGGACCAGAGGATTCATTTTCACTCTCAGGCGTGGTAAAATTTGAAACTAGATGAGTGATGTGCTACGTATAACAGCTGTAGCTAAATTCACTCGCCGACTGTATCACTAAATTATAATAAAATAATCAATAATATTATAGTATATTTATAATAAAATGATCAATAATGTAGAAACATTATATATATTGAACCAATAACAAACTAATTGTTTACATTTTTATTTTGTTTATATTTCACCAAATAATAAATCATCTACTAATTGTACACTCCAAGATTCTCACACCCAATCAAATAATTTTCATTTGTTTAAGTGCCAGTTTGGCCAAATTTAATAAGTGATTTTTAAAAAAAATTGGGAAGTCCAGTCTGTTTAGTAAGCTATAAGAAAATCACTTATTGTTAAAAAATGCTGCAAGAGAAAGTAAGTAGCTAATGAGGTGCTTTCATTTTCTGATTATACTAGAATCAGTTTCGGAGAGGTGCTGGGTTTAATGATTATACGGGAATCATTTTCTGATTATGCAGGAATCAGTATCAACAACATTTTTAACAAAAAGTTTACCAAATGCCAAACTGTTTTCTCTCACAGAAAATCTGACAATGATTATTTTCACAGCACAGCAATTCTAAACTGGCCCTAAGACTCTTGTCAAAAATCTAACATGAATATCACAATTTCAATCTTCGCTCATGAGCATATGGTTTTTTTTTCTTTTTATGTGATCATTGTTCATGACTGACAATTCAAGTGTAACAATATAACATGTCAGATATCAAGCGAGAGAAAATTTACATTTTCATACACGAGTACTGGTAAAGAGATTATATTTCTAAACTCCATTATGGGACAAGTGAGGTGCACTGGTTATATTAACCGTTGTCACAGGCTGTCACATAATATTGGAGTTCATTAATTAATGTGATATATATTAATTATGATTCCTTTAGAAATATTATATAATCTTTTGAAAGAAAAAAGGCTATCAAATTGCTTATGTACGAAGCCAAATTTACAATTGGTTTTTCTGATGGTGACTTCCTGTGAAGTCACGAGAGAACCATTAAAATTGTGCCACATGCATATTAATGCTTTTCAAAATTTACCAAATGTCTTCTACTTAGACATCGTTTCGGTAAATATGTTGTAAAAAGATTTTTTCTTTAACCTAATTCATCTTATAAATTTTTTATACAAAGGATTTATAGTTGTTTTATTTGTACATGAGATAAACTAATGTCTACGTACTTACGTGTTTTTTTTGTTGTTTTTTTTTACTCTTTCGTCCTTTCGTATTCGATGTGATATTAGGTACTAACATACAAAGTTTTTTTAATTTTATTTTAGAAAGCGAAATTTTATTGAAAACTGCGAATCAACACAATCCCGAATTAATAAATCTTATATAAAATCAGGAGGGTTCTCAAACCAAATGAGTCATGATCTAAGCAAAGTGGACAAGCTTGTGAGCAACAACATTGTAACTCCTGAGCATATGAGTCAAAGATGGATTTATATAAACAACTGAATGTCCATTCCTAGACAATTGTTTTATGTTACTGATTAATTGATGGATTATAAACAACATTATAATCTTGGAGAGCGTGGGCTGCTAAGTATTAGTTAATGTGTGTTCTGAAAATTATAATTTATATGCATCGAAATAGGTTTTTTTTTTGTTTGTTTTTGTGTTTGGTAAATGCATCCAAATAGGTTTTATTTATTTATTTTTGTTAATTTTTACAGTTGCAGGAGCTTAGCCCTTATCCTTAGTCTGAAAGAAGCCAAAGATAATTTATGCAATTTGGCTTTGTGTGTGCGTGTGGCTCCGTCACAGTGACCAAACTTGGCACTGTTTTCTGGCACAACAGACCTCGCATCGCACCCTTATGTCTTTGCATTTAAAAGAGCAATAAATAATAATATTTTGTCTCCCATCAACCCTGAAATATGTTGTTTAAATGAAAAAATAACCCAGACTCCTAAAAAGAAAGTAAAAAAAAAAACATAAAGAAGGTCGCAGTTTAGTATTGAGAGCCCCCAAATGCCATAAAATTGTTCAATATGATGGAACTTTAACATCCTTTTAATATTGGGTCTCAATAATGTCAAATTTTAAACCCAAACTATACCTTACGAGACATAATATAGAAAAACGTAAGTTGTTAATGACGAAATTTGATGAGGACCAATTTTGAGTATAGAGATTAACTTTGAGGACCACTGGTGATAGTTTCGTGAATCCTCACACAAATCGGAATAGGACAACGCAATTTGCATGCTATTTTAGACACCATGGTAATTTGTTACATACTTGTTAAAAAAATCTTCACACAAATATTGTTTCTCTTAATTCTCGGTGATAAGTATATTCCACCAAAATTGTCAAAATTTTCAAAATTAATCATTCAAACCAAACCAAATCAAATTGTTTTTTTTTCTTTTTTTTTCTCTATGCTAGTCGACAACATAACTGTGTATCCATACTCCATGTGTACGGTGTGACATAATCCGGAGCGAATTTGTTCATCATGAATTTAATTATTTTTTATTTTTATATTAATATATAAGTCAAGCAAGTCAAGAAGAAAGAAAAAAAAACAAAATCGGATGGGAACTTCTTGGATTAATTTTCTTGTATTTGCCTTCTCTATTTTCTTGGGTCAACAAAGACGGTGTGATCTTTCAAAATCCAAGAATCTTTTTTTTTATATCAAGTTGAGGGACACTTGCCTGTTTCGCAATTTCTCCCCATTCAGTTTTACTTTTCATTAATAAATTTTTTTTGTTTGCATTTGCCAAGTTGAATTTAAATTTGTTTTGTTTAATGAATTCAGTGGCAAGACGAGAAGGATAAACAAGTGGCAGCTCATGAGGTACAAAAGAGACTGATAATGAGACATGTTAGGTCAGAGTTCCTGTTCTTTTAATCTTGTAAGACATTGAACTCGTATCAATAATTTGGGCAACAAGAACAAAAACTAGATCTTACTTAGGTCACAGGTCAACTTCTCTATAGGGAACATAAGATGCCTTAATTTCGGTCTTTATAATAAGATAATACGTACACAATAAAGTTATGTACGTTTATAGTATCCTATAATATGATGACTTAGTTATAATTAAGTATTGAACTTATTACAAATATCATTCTTGCATTGTCGGGTGTTGAGATTTCTCCGTCTTGAATTAACTATCCCTTAGATTATTAAAGTTCTCTCTCTCTCAAAACCTGCAGCAATTGAATCAAGACACTCAAAACCCACAGCAATTGAATCAAGACACGTATCCATTAGCTAAGTTTAGAAGACATGCATCGTCATGCAAGAAGAATTGTATGCATTGACTAAGAGAACTGAGCTACAAGCTAAGTTCAAAGGGCATCGATCGCCACAAGAAGAGTTGAATTTTCGGGTCCAAGGATATATTAAATTACTAATATATTTGACTCATTTGTGTCAATAATTTGAAACGGCTAGCGTAGGAGAGAGAAAGAGTATAAAGAAAAAAATGGCAGGGAAGTTGGAAATTGGATAGATCATTATTGGCCACGATGCCCCTAAACGTGCAACTTTGATTAGTCTTCCTTTTGTTTTTATTGTTCTTTTCTCCGTAGTCATCAACTTTGATTTTGTTTTGGTCAACCATCATATCCTTTGACTAATTTGTCGAATCATAAACTAGATTCCTAGTTTAATCAAGAAAATTTTACTATTCGACGTTTTTCTTTTTCTTTTTTGTTGATTATAAATTTAAGTAGACGATTTGCTTTTTTATTAATTATATATTTAAGTAGACGATTTGCTTAGATTAACTTCTTCTTTTCACCTTTTTTTTATTTTTTTTATTTTTATAAATAAATAATAATAATTGTATTCATAAATTAAACACAAAGACAATTAGCCACGAGGGCAAATACAAATGTCCACAAGGGGATAATACAAATATGAAAGCATAGTAACCACCAAGGGTTATCCAGATACATACCACAAAATGCTAGAAAAATTTCGACATAAAAGCCACATGCATGAACAAGCCAAACATGAATCACTTCGCCCAAATCTACCAATACAACTACAACTTTTAACTCTTGCAAGTACAAAATACAAGTAGAGAACAATCCAACACCCAACTCACAAGGAGTTGATGCAATTATTAAAAAAATAAAAAAAACTACAAATAAACAACTGAAAACCAATAAAGCTAATACCACTGTTGTTGCCATCAACAGAGGCGGACACACGATGGGATAAGAGGGGTCTAACGACCCCTTGGAATGCCTGAAATTTGGCTGTGGACTCCATGGACGACCCCTTGGACAGCTGTGGAGCGATCCCTTGTGTGCACACCAGATGCTCAACCAAAGTCCCAACCTGTCTGTTTGTGACTTGTGTTGGTCTGTCATGGAATCAATAGACCACTTATTTTTCAATTGTGCGATAATGCAAAAGCCAAACCAACCGCAAGGAACAATTAATATTTTTTTCCTTTTTAATATCGTGCTGCTCTTGTTTATTTGTTCTTGTGAAACAATGGAAGAAAGAAAGCCTCTTTGTTTAGTTAGTAGCGGGGGAGGCTGGGAAGAAAGAAACAGAGATAGAAAGAAAGAATAAAAAAAGAGAGGGGGAGGCTAGAAAAAGAAGGAAAATAATAAAGAAAGAGAGAGAGAGAGAAACAATTTATTTATTTTTATAAAAGAGGGGGAAATATTAAATAAAAGGAAAGAAAGAGAGAACATAAAAAATAATCAAAAAATAAAGAAGATGATATTCTACTCACTTCTCT